CTCTGTCTCTCTGTCTCTCTGTCTGACAGTCTGTCTCTGCCTTCTCTCTTTCTGTCCGTCTCTCTGTTGCTTTGTTTTTGTCTTTGCGAGCTTCCTCCGCGTTTCCCGGTTTCTTCTTTTTGTGTTTGGCAGGGCTCCTTAAAAGATCTACATTTTGCAACCATTGGACACATGTTGTTTTTTCAACACCAAAATAAAGTTGGAAACCACCATTTACAAGTTGCAATGTTCAGGTGGATCTATTCTAAGGATCCCTGTGAATGTAAGGGGAGGCCCAACTGCGAGCTATTTGGCCAGCTCACTGATTCAAGTCATGAGTCATGAGCTGTTTCCCGGTTTCTTCGTGTGTTTGGCTTCGTGCGCTTTGCTTCTTGCCTTGTCGCTCGACACGACGCTTTCAGCTTTCGGCGTTCGGCCCCGAGGTCCTGGAGCTGCTGCTGTCGCAGCAGCGAGTGGCCGGGCACTCGAGCGATGAAATCTGAGAGCGACTCCATGAGTTTCATCCATCGGGATTCTTGGATCCATTGGGAGTTTTTGGTCCCTTGGGATTGTTTGATCCCTTGTGTGTGTTTTTGGGGGGGATTTGTTGATCCCTTCGGATTGGCGACTCCATGAGTGCATGAGCGCTCAATCGATGTATCTCTTGGGATTTTTCTGCTTGCTGGTGCGAGAGAAGCAGGGAATGAGGGAAGTTGGTTTTCCACAGCTGGAGCCTGAACCCCCTTTGATCCCTTGGCTGGTTGGGATACCGAACAACGAGCAAAGCGATTCTAGACCGCCCCCTCGGCACAAGGATTGGGAGGCTGGTTTCTGCACCAATCCCTGCACCAAATGATTCAAGACCACCCCATCAAGGGGGGGTGGGGGGGCGGGTTTGGAGGTCCCCCAAAAGGAGAGTGCTTTATGACAGTGCTTTGTGATCCATGTCAATCTCACGCGGAAGGGAGAAGGGAACGTGGAGGTGTGGGGCTTACCACTTGAGGCTGGGGTTTTCTTGATCTTTGACCCATTCAAGGCCCATACGTGAACTGAGCAAGTTAGTGGAAGAGCACACATTTCCCTCACAACACACCAGAGAGAGCTGCATGTTTTTTCGTCTCAGGGGGCCTTCAGTCACCCAGCTTTTGGTTGCCATACTCTGAAAAGAAGGATCCCTGCAAAAAAAAATATCGGACTTCTCAGCTGAGCAATCAGAACTAGCTTCATTCTACGGGAAGCTTCCCCATTCCAGGGATCCTTCTTTCTAGAAAACCACTGGACACCAACCGCGAAAGCTCATGGCCGGAAGGAGGCTTCCGCCGAGGCAGGAAGGTAGCACTGTAGCTTGAGTGCTATTGGGTTGGATCTTCAGACTTTACCAGAAACTTTTCAAATCAAGTTGGCTTTCCGACATGAAGCCACAAAAGTGGAGAACTTGTTGAGGGGTCAACAGCAACCAGGGTAGCAGAGGGTTCCACAGTTCACAAGCCTTCGAACGCTACTGGAATTGACCCTTGTCCATTGAGAGCCAGCGGTCCGCGCCCCGATTTCCAACAACACCCAGGAAGCCAGAACCTGATGCTCACTTGCCCAAAGAGAATCGTTCCTTTGACCTGTTGGTTTCCGGTGTTTGGTCCATTTTCAGCCATGGCCTCAAAGAGTTAGCCTTGTATTGTTGGCGCTTTGGGCAACTGAGATGGTGTACTCCTACAATCATAGCCAAATTTGCTGTGAAAGTACCCCACAACCCCATGCCGGTTTTTAAGGCCTTAGTACGCTCCCTTGATGTCCTTTAAAAACCCCCAAAAGGGTACCGTCAAAACAAGACAGACCTATTGGCCCTTGCGATTCGCCGATTCGCCGAAAGGTCCAGCTGCTATATCAGAAAGCCTTCCCACAGGAGATGCAGGAGCCTCCTGCCGCGTGGTTGCAGCAGTGAGTTTTGCCTCCATTTAGCTGGGTCTCCAGTGCAAAATCATATTTGGGTGGTGTTCGAGTGGATCATATTTTACTTCGCAACAACAGTTATCATGTTTGCCTTTTGTTGGAGTAGCCCAAGAGGGCCAAGTGAAACGGTTAAGTCTGCAACTGCGTTCCTCTTGCCAGCAAACCTGCAAAAAACCACAGCGCCTTGAATCCGACGCAAAGATGTTACTAGCTTGTGTACCCCCCGCCGCCACCATCGCATTCCTGTAGTCTCTCAAGCCTGGGCCGGGCGTCCACTTTTTGTGAGTTGCTCACAAGTGGAATGCGCCGGCCATCACTCCTGACGGTTATGGACATGGTTCCTTTTGAGAAGGCACCATTGCAGTTGTCTAACATTTGTCCTTTCCACTAGGCCCTTTATCAAAGTCGATCAACGTCATCAGAGGTAGGTCGAACCTTAGTTTCTGACTTTGATAGCCCCAAAAGAGTCACGGAAAAGGGCGTTTTGACACTGGGACGGCCAGAAATCAAATCCCAGTTGAACAGCGACCCTTGTAGGAAAAGGGAGCCCCTTTTGGGGTTGACCGGTTGATCGTTTTCAATGGAGAAGCCACCAAACAAAAGGGACAGATTCCACTGAGCAATGCGGAACGCCCAGCCGAAAGGATAAAGAGCCAATGGTGACCCGTGATGTGTAAACCCGAGCTAAACAACCAAGAAGTTGATGAACTAATTGAGTGACCCTCAACGGGCTCCAACAATTGTATTCCGCAAACATGTCCCAGAATTGACCGGACTATGCGCCCATTCACCAGCAAACCACTGCCCTAGGCTTCAGCTCCCTCGCAGAGTGCAGTCGCCTCAACTCCGACAGCACACACGTGGTCGGGCGGGCCAGGTTTGGCTCAGAAACAAATCGCCGAACATCTGCAAACCCATCCGCTTCTTTGCTTGTCCAAGAGTAGCTAGGCCCCCCAGCTAGGTGCCCTTTTTAACCCCTTTTTGGGGGGAGGGTTCCCCTACTAAAATAGACTACATCAAAAAGGGCACCCTTGTTCCAAGCTCTCTACTGGAGGACCTAGGCAGAGAATGACATGATACAAGGGCGATTGACGCTTCTTGCAGCGAGCGTAGGTTGTATAGGTTTGTTTCAGAAGGCAAGTCACAAATGGGCTTTCCGCCGTAAAGGACGTACGCATATTGCGTGACTTTGCCTCCACTCCATGTTGCCGCCCTTTTTGTCGGGGGGGAGGTGGCCTTGAAAAGGGCCTGTTTGTTGAGGGTCCTTTTCTGTTTGCGCCCGGCTATAGAAAGGTCGCACGAACCCTTTGCAGGTTGTGTGAGTGCATTACGTTGCGGTCAACACTTCCCGCAACAGGTTTCTTAGCTGATCCAGTTGGTAATCAATGTGGATTATTTGTGGAGGATCCGGAAGGACGGGCTGGCACACGGTCCCCAACGCTTCCCCGCAAGGGGCGGCCAAGACAAAACGTTGGTCCAGTCTTTCGCATGGTTGAAAAGGATACCGTTGAGTGACATATGAAAGAGGGGTTTTGCGCCGGACGCTGCCTCATACACTATTCCCTTTGTGGGCACGGGAGAAACAATGCATGAAGAGAGGTCAGTCCCGGTGAAATATTATAAATCACTTAGATTTTTGGGGGCGACTGAAATATGGACCAACCCCGTCCGATGGGCCCCCTTTCGCCGTCATGTGCCACTTCAGGCCGCCGCCGGAGACGAGTTCGCCTGGCTTGGGGACATCATCCCCTCTGATGATGAAGGAGCCGGAGGCGCGCGAAAACGTAGGGACACGTATGCAGACACGGACCGAGACACTCAGACAGACAGACTCCGACCGACAGACAGCATTCGACACAACACACACACACACACACAGATATGTGTTGATATGCATATATATAGACACATATATATGAGCCACGGACAAAACACGCGTAGACCACTTTATCAAGACGGGGCACGCTTTTGAGTAACACATCCCAAAACCATGGAAAACGATGAGGTCTCCCCCAAAAACGATGACCCTTAACGAACACACGGCTCTGTAAATACGACACTTGTACTGAGAAGTTGCGATTTTCGAGCTGGAGATGCGGAAGTGTACTTCGCGTACAGCCTAGGCTTGTACTACAAAGCTGCGATTTTCGAGCTGGAGCTGCGGAAGTGTTCTTCGCGTACTAGACTTGTACTACAAAGTTGCGATTTTCGAGCTGGAGATGCGGAAGTGTACTTCGCGTACTAGACTTGTACTACAAAGTTGCGATTTTCGAGCTGAGATGCGGAAGTGTACTTCGCGTACTAGACTTGCACTACAAAGTTGCGATTGTAGCTGCGGAAGTGTGCTTCGCGTACTAGACTTGTAGAGCTGGAGCTGCGGAAGTGTACTTCGCGCACTAAACGTGTACTACAAAGTTGCGATTTTCGAGCTGGAGCTGTGGAAGTGTACTTCGCGTACTAGAGTTTTACTACACAGTTGCGATTTTCGAGCTGGAGCTGTGGAAGTGTACTTCCCGTACTAGACTTGTACTACAAAGTTGCGATTTTCGAGCTGGAGCTGCGGAAGTGTACTTCGCGTACTAGACTTGTACTACAAAGTTGCGATGATCGAGCTGGAGATGCGGAAGTGTACTTCGCGTACTAGACTTGTATTACAAAGTTGCGATTTTCGAGCTGAAGATGCGGAAGTGTACTTCGCGTACTAGACTTGTATTACAAAGTTACGATTTTCGATCTGAAGATGCGGAAGTGTACTTCGCGTACTAGACTTGTACTACAAAGTTGCGATTTTCGAGCTGGAGCTGCGGAAGTGTACTTCGCGTACTAGACTTGTACTACAAAGTTGCGATTTTCGAGCTGGAGCTGCGGAAGTGTACTTCGCGCACTAGACTTGTACTACAAAGTTGCGTTTTTCGAGCTGGAGATGCGGAAGTGTACTTCGCGTACTAGACTTGTACTACAAAGTTGCGATTTTCGAGCTGGAGATGCGGAAGTGTACTTCGCGTACTAGACTTGTACTACAAAGTTGCGATTTTCGAGCTGGAGCTGCGGAAGTGTACTTCGCGTACTAGACTTGTACTACAAAGTTGCGATTTTCGAGCTGGAGCTGCGGAAGTGTACTTCGCGTACTAGACTTGTACTACAAAGTTGCGATTTTCGAGCTGGAGCTGCGGAAGTGTACTTCGCGTACTAGACTTGTACTACAAAGTTGCGATTTTCGAGCTGGAGATGCGGAAGTGTACTTCGCTTACTAGACTTGTACTACAAAGTTGCGATTTTCGAGCTGGAGATGCGGAAGTGTACTTCGCGTACTAGACTTGTACTACAAAGTTGCGATTTTCGAGCTGGAGCTGCGGAAGTGTACTTCGCGTACTAGACTTGTACTACAAAGTTGCGATTTTCGAGCTGAAGATGCGGAAGTGTACTTCGTGTACTAGACTTGTACTACAAAGTTGCGATGATCGAGCTGGAGATGCGGAAGTGTACTTCGCGTACTAGACTTGTGCTACAAAGTTGCGAGTTTCGAGCTGGAGATGCGGAAGTGTACTTCGCGTACTAGACTTGTACTACAAAGTTGCGATTTTCGAGCTGGAGATGCGGAAGTGTACTTCGCGTACTAGGCTTGTACTACAAAGTTGCGATTTTCGAGCTGGAGCTGCGGAAGTGTACTTCGCGTACTAGACTTGTACTACAAAGTTACGATTTTCGAGCTGGAGCTGCGGAAGTGTTCTTCGCGTACTAGACTTGTACTACAAAGTTGCGATGATCGAGCTGGAGATGCGGAAGTGTACTTCGCGTACTAGACTTGTACTACAAAGTTGCGATTTTCGAGCTGGAGATGCGGAAGTGTACTTCGCGTACTAGACTTGTACTACAATGTTGCGATTTTCGAGCTGGAGATGCGGAAGTGTACTTCGCGTACTAGACCACCCTACACCCCACACCCCCACACACCCCCATCCCATGTACTTAGCAACGACAGGGGGTCTTTGCGATGATCAGAGCTTGCGCGGATGCAAGTGTACTTCGCGATAACTAGACTTGTACTACTTTGTTGCGATTTTCGAGCTGGAGATGCGGAAGTGTACTTCGCGTACTAGACTTGTACTACAAAGTTGCGATTTTCGAGCTGGAGCTGCGGAAGTGTACTTCGCGTACTAGACTTGTACTAGAAAGTTGCGATTTTCGAGCTGCAGATGCGGAAGTGTACTTCGCGTACTAGACTTGTACTACGAAGTTGCGATTTTCGAGCTGGAGCTGCGGAAGTGTACTTCGCGTACTAGACTTGCACGACAAAGTTGTGATTTGTGAGCTGGAGATGCGGAAGTGTACTTCGCGTACTAGACTTGTACTGCACAGTTGCGATTTTCGAGCTGGAGATGCGGAAGTGTACTTCGCGTATTAGACTTGTACTGCCTGCCAAGTTTCGCTTTTCGAGCTGGAGCTGCGGAATTGTATTTCGCAATTTTAGGGCTGGAGCTGCGGAAGTGTACTTCGCGTACTAGACTTGTACTACAAAGTTGCGAATTTCGAGCTGGAGCTGCGGAAGTGTACGTACTACGACTTGAACTTGTGCTAGAAAGTTGCGATTTTGGACTGCCGGATCTGGAAGTGTACTTCGCGTACTTGTACTTGCCAAGTTTCGCTTTTCGAGCTGGAGCTGCGGAATTGTATTTCGCAATTTTCGGGCTGGAGCTGCGGAAGTGTAATTCGCGTACTAGACTTGTACTACAAAGTTGCGAATTTCGAGCTGGAGCTGCGGAAGTGTACTTCGCGTACTAGACTTGTGCTAGAAAGTTGCGATTTTGGAGCCGGATCTGCCAAAGTTCGAAAACACTGTAAAACGATGAGGTCTCCCCCAAAAACGATGACGTTAAAAAAAGTACTAAGGCCAAGTAAAGGGTTTCGTCCGCTCCTCATATATATATATATATATATACATACGTGTACGCATGTTTTACACCAGCGAGCACACATGCATAGATATGTGTAAATGAATTTGTTTATTTCTTGGTGTGTGTGTGTGTGTATCCGCTGGTGTGATTGCTTGCGCCTGCCTGGCTGCTTTCTCTCTCACCTCGCTGGAGGGCGCTTTGGGGTCTTTCTTCATTTCCAGCTGGTGCATTTATCATCTTCAAAGGAAGTCTAACAATAACTTGAGTTATTTGGAGGCTAAGTACCCTCCCCAAAAGATGGGTGGGCTCCCTTTTGGTTTAAATTTGACACCACAACAAAAGGGAGTACCCTCCAAAAAAGAGGAGCCCACATGGATATTATAGCTTTCCCCAATGCGAGCTACGGGAGTTGCGGCAGGCCAAGCCGAGTCCAGCTACTGAATCCAGCTTGGGAATCGTGGAACTCGATGGTTTCACTGCGCTGTTTCACCGTGTCACACCCCGAAATCTGGGCGAAAAACCACCCCTGGGGTTGTCAGAAATATACTTGCCCCTTGGACCTGTTTCAGTTTCATCTTCGCATGCCTTTCAATTACAGGGTCCAGGCCCAAAAACAGGGTAGTTGTGACAACCGCCCACTAGGGTCAGACACCATGAGGATTCCCGAGAGATTGGGGCGAAGCACCCTTGAAATGTAATTCAACCGACCACGTATGATAATTTGTCGCGACCGTGTCTTATATTTGTTTATTTCAAGACAGATGCTGCATCTTGATAAGACCCACTCCCAGTAATCCAGAAATGTGAACCGCCAGTTGACATGTGGGCAGATGGCCCAGAATGAAGTCGGTACGCCCAAGGTCGTGCCAGCCATTGTGTGGAAAGAGCGTGTGTGCTGCAGACGGATTTGCAAGACACGTCTGGGTGTTTCCTCAGAATGGTTGTTCGCTAAAATGGTTTGTTCCCTTTTTGCCCCGTCAAACATAAAGCAACACAATGCATAGCCAGGCCCATATTGGGCATGTCGAATATGGGCCAGCCGTTTTAGAAGGATGTCCTTACCGTGTTTCTCTTCGGGAACCTGTGCTGAAGCTTGGTTCACGAGTTGCTGCCCAGTCGACCAGTTCAACGACGGATTGGGCGTCAACAGATTCAGGTGCCCTGGACCGATTCGTGCTGCGAATCAACCTGCAATGGTACCTTGGCTCCCAGCCATCGGGTCCTTTTGAGCCTTTTAGTTTGTCTAGTGGTTCACGGCTCCTTAAAAGATCTCCATTTTGCCTGCCCATTTGAGACATGTTGCTTTTTCCACCAAAATGAAGTTGGAACCACCATTTACAAGTTGCAATGCTCAGGTAGATCTATTGTAAGGATCCCAGTGGTTGGGCTTCCGTTTAACCCACAGGTCAAACTTTTCTAGCAGGGGATCAGTGTGGATTGAGTACCTCATGTCTCCCATAAAAGGCAATCCACCCTCGGAGGCCACGCGGAAGTCACCGTTTTTGCAGAGGAAAGGACATTGCAGCTGATGACTAGAACCGGTTGGCGAACTTTCCGCTCGAAATCATAGTATCAGAGAAAGCTATTTTGCTGGCGATGCGTCCTTCCTGGTCCTTCCTTTTCTGGAATTTCGGTCGCGAATGGTTCAAATCTGTGTGACTGGAAAACGAAGGCCTTCCGGTGAGACGTAGGATTAAGCCTAGCCCCCTTCATCCCATGCCAGTCCAGCCGTGGCTAACACCAAAATGCGAATCTGAAGACTAGCTACACCAAGGATCTCATGTGCAAATGGTTTCTGTTTCTTGCTGCATTTTGCCGCCGAGTGCTCCGCAGGAAGGTGGAGGTTCGTCGCACAATGCAAGGATGCTTGCATTACCTCCGGGATTCCAGCTAAAATATTTTGCCATGTCCAGCCGACATCCTTGTCATGGGACATTCTGGGCCCAAGGGTTTCCTCCCAGCGTTATCCAGTTGCCTGGTGTAGACAGGCCGCAAAGGTCGCTCATGTTTGGACATGCATAAACACACAATCACACACACACACATACTATATATACTGAGATTGAAGTTTGGCGGGGCTCACCCTTCAAAATGAGTGGAGGAAATACCCCCCCATCCACCCAAGCATGTTCAATCGAAATTCACACCCACACATATACATATGTATGTATGTATACATATATATATATATATATTGATATGTGTATGTATATCCTGATTTGTTGAACCAATGTTGAGCACACTGTTGAATTCTGTCCTTTGTCAAGTTGGGCTTGCGCCCGTAGGCCTCAGGCTCACTCGCCATGTTCACTAAGCCATGGGCGCTGCTCTTGGCGCCTTGAACGAGAATTCGTCGGGAGCCGGGGAGTCGGGCCTTAAACCTCAAAGCGACACCAGCAAGGTTGATATATATATATATATACACTTTGGTGCATTTTGCCAAGGGATGTTAGGACTTAAACTTATTGCCAACTAATGGGTTTTCCACGAAACCACTAAAAGTTAAACTTTTAGCAGGGGAGCAGAAAGCAACCCAAAATTAAAGAGCTGGGGCAAACCGCGGGTTTCAGTTTTTGGTTCCATTTACCAGGGTGCCATTTTGGTACCGGTTTTTTGAGCCACAGCAGTATATATATACTTTAGAGCCTCCGGCTCAGTCCGCCGACATTGTCCTCTCCCTTTTCTCCTTCTTCCTCTCTTCCTTGTCTCCCTTGTGTGTTCTGTCGTCCTCTCTCCCTCCCTCTGCTCCCATCCTCCCCATCCCCCCAAGCCTCTCTCTCCCCACTCTCCCTCTCTCGTATGTATGCATGCATGTACATATGTATGTATGTATGTATGTATGTATGTATGTATGTATGTATGTATGTATGTATGTATGTATGTATGTATGTATGTATGTATGTATGTATGTATGTATGTAATGTATGTATGTATGTATGTATGTATGTATGTATGTATGTATGTATGTATGTATGTATGTATGTATGTAATGTATGTATGTATGTATGTAATGTAATGTAATGTAATGTAATGTATGTAATGTAATGTAATGTAATGTAATGTAATGTAATGTAATGTAATGTAATGTAATGTAATGTAATATGTAATGTAATGTATGTATGTATGTATGTATGTATGTATGTATGTATGTATGTATGTATGTATGTATGTATGTATGT